GAAACTTCCCGGGGAAAAGGAAAAAGCAAAGAAGCAGTGAGACACGCATTGACCAATGGTGTATGACAATACTACAGAGTCGAGAGTGGTTGTATAACATATGTATTATTAGGTGGACAGAGTGAAACGGTATCCATGATTTCAAATGCCAGGCAGTGCGCGCGGTTGAGCTAATCGTCTTAGCTGCATGTTGATTCTGCATTGCCCACAAATCACCCCTCAGATAAGCGGAGGGGCCGTGTTATCGAGGTAGTACGATTCAAACCAGTATGACACCTGCTTGAGGTTACCCGGCTGTTGGTCGATGCTACAATAGCTGGAAAGGGTGTCTGTCTGACATTGAACAGGACAGAGGACTCCAAATCTTGTGTGATGAGGGTTGAGTTAGTTATCGCGGCTAATTCTCTTTAGGTAATCTCAACGGCTGCCAGTTATTCCAGGCTCCAGCAGAGTGACTGTTGTGACTGTTTCCTGTCACTAGTGCCTAAAAGTGGTGCTAGTCAAGGCTTGGTTAGCGAAGAATGCCTCTGCCCCTGCCAACAATTAATGTCCCTCTGTCCTGGCCCACCAGTCAGGTCCGGACGGGTCAAACTCCATTTTTTCCCTCTTCTTTTTCATTTTCTTTTTCTCTTGTGTTTGATTTTCGCTGACTCAGTCTCTCTTGGCTGTCTATTACTTTCCAATCTTTTCTGTCGATGTGGCTTGTCGATGACTCTACGGAGTAGGGCTGTTGCCTGTAATATGCAACGCCTCTTGGCTTCGTGGAGCCTGGTGGACTTCTCGACTCGATTTGGGAAAATTGCCGTCTTCAAGGGCTTTTAGATAAAACCCTTTCATGGCTGTGCGCGACGAGGCTTGTAGAACTGGGACATTATTGATTTTCCCGTACATCAGTGACCCTTTCTATATTTGTTTTGGATTTACCGGAAAGAGCTGGCACACAAACAACAATATCTTTCAGCTTGAAGAGCCATTGTCGCGAACCTCGGACCTGGTCGAATCCTATATAGTATGGATAGTTCCTACTCGGTGCAAGCCCCGCGATTCCCGGCCCTTTAGCTTTAACTGCTCGCATAATCTCCTATCGTCCAGGATCGTAAACCGGAGATTAACGCCGGGTATTTCTGTAGGTATTGCGCTTACACGCTATCAAAACAAAGAAGGTGCTCCGATATACCCTGACTCTCCAATTAAGTTCCCGCTTCCAATGTACCCCATACTAGTACTAATACTACTTGGAAATAAAAAGTGAGGATAATAGGGAAAAAGCAGAAAGTGTATATGTCAAGATGACGTCTTTCATTACCCAAGCACACAAAACTTGATCGCAAGCACAACAAGGCTTGCAAGATTGATTTAGCTATGGAGAAAAGAACGAACCCATGCATTAGCCAGGCTTCGATCCTAACATCAATCAAGTAACGATGAGACACGGCAATGAGATGATCGCCCCCGCTCGTCCAAATTTCCGGAACTCATCTAGCGCTAGGAGCGTACCATCTAGGCGACAGGTCACAATTATTGAAACCATTGAGAGTGATCTCGCTAGAACTCAGCCGATCGACTCCAGTATGGATATCCGTTGCACCTCCTTTCTTTGTAGGACTCTCTAACGTCCTCCCTTGAAGGGGGATTGTATATGATCGACCGTAAGCGAGTATCCCCGTTTTCACCACTCTCCGCCTTGGGAGTGCCCTATACAAACCGATTCCATGGTTCTGAGAACGCCAATGGCATCTTGTGGCTCAGACCTCAGCCCAGATCGATCCACATCCCGTTATACGAGAGATCAAACTCCTACTCACACGACCAGATGGAAGGCACGCGCATTGTAGTTCGCTGGACTTGAGGACGAGTCGAACGCCTCGGAAGGAAGGTCACAACAAAGGAGCGACTCAGGAGTCAGTATAGGCACTTAGACTACTACGGGTGAATGCACAGGAGTAAGTATATATCAAACCAGGGCTTGTCCTAGGCTTAAGTTGTGTCACCAGGACTCCCTTAGTAGCCATCCCGAGCCGACTAATAAGGACTACTCGTAGTGGTAGTACTAGTACAGTATGGTACCCGAAATGATCCTGGTCCCTACTGCTGGATCCGATTCGTGGTTCATGCGAGTGGGGCCTGCAAGGGGCACTGGGTCCGAGGTACCGTACGGTAACCGAAAGACAACCATGGTTTCTGTGACAGTTTATTATTTCTCAGTATTATTATTATGATGATGATTCCATATTACTTGACTATACTCGAGAGGGGTTAAAGCGAAATCCTCTCACCATCTTCTGAATGTCGATGTATCGAAGTTGGCCGTCAGTTCTCGATTATATCCCTTCTTTTCTTTTTTTCTTCATTGGGTTATGGATTCCTCGCTAAATAGTCATTGGAATCCAGACAGGAGCCTCCCGGCCATTAATAGTGACATTAATTAAATATCATCAGAATTAAAAGTGTCGATCGTCTTTCAAGACTGTACCGGCGGCTCCATTGGGTCCAATAATTCGAACCACTTTATCCGCTCTGGACTGTTCCTCTGAGTAAGTCAGTACGTACGGAGTAAGTTACTAGTTAGTAACAATCCACTGGGACTGGTCTAAGGCACCAATTCCCGACTCAGCTGTCCTCCGTACTCCGTACAGCTCATGTCCTTGTCCTAATTTAAAAAAAAAGAAAAAGAAAAAGAAAAAAAGAGAAATGAGAAAAGAAAATGAAAAATAAAAATTGAAAGTAAAAAAAAGAACAGAGACACTCCCCCGACGATCGAATCCAGATCCCTTCTTTCCAATCCATTCATTAGGTTTATTTTTCTTTCCTCTCGCGTCGCTTTTTACTTCCTCTTTTTCGAGGCCACACCGTCCTTCGTTTTCTACACCTGGCTCCTCTGGTTTGTTCAACATTCTCTTCAACACCTTAGTTGGTGGTTTCGCTCTCTAAATACCCAGCCATTCATTCTCAGCAACGGCGAGTCTTTCGTTCTTCCGCCACTAGACTTCAACTCAGATCCATTTTTGGCATTCCGCGCCCGCTTGTCTATACTGCAGCCACATTCCACCATTTCATGCAGACAGTTGTCTCCAACCCCGCCAGTATTATCAGTTATCTTAAGGCCAGCTTCTCGCACTTTTGATCGATTCCTTGCCAATCTGCAAGTCACGCCTATTATCGACACTTCGTCGTCGAATCACGCCGCGGTTCCTTGGCGCTCTGCGGAGCAGCTCCGTCAACTCTGGGGGATGAGCCCATGATTCGAACGCTCTGATACTCCCACTCGTTCTATCTGGTGGATTGATCTACATCATAAAGCTACTCGTTTGTCGCTGCTCGTTTGTGAACGTTCGGACCACTCTTGTTTCGGCCTTTATCAGTAAGTCGCCGAATCTGATTGATCGATTCATGCAGACCTCTTGTGGCGACGGCCCATAGCTGCCAGTGACATACGATTCTGACTCGTAAGATTGACCTAGTATCACCGGAATACATGCATCCATCTGATCCGTAGCCCCTTTACGTGGCAATTCTTCAAGAAATATCGAGACTACATTTGGTCGACCGTCCATGCCACTGCCTATATCATCAGCCTCGAATTGCCCTTAGTTTCGCATTGTTCCCTTAACGAACATCACCATGAATCGATTCCGCAAGGCTAAGAAGGAGAAGACGAAGGAGGATACGGAAGCTATCGAGAACACCCACAATTTGCTCACCTCCAAGCTGTCCAAGCGAAGCAAGAAGGATGAGCCCGAGGAAGTGCCCGCACTCGACCTATCGAATGCCTTACCGTCTAACGATGACTTCCGTACGAGCTTACTTATGCCCAAATTATCGGCGCGGTTTAGCATGTTGAGGGAACAAGACGACCCGGCCTCGATTATCGGCAAGGCCAGTGATGATAGTGTCTTGTTTCCTAAGCGCGCCTCCCGATTGAATCTCTTCGGCCACAATCCAAACCTGCTCACAGATATCGATGAGGTATCTACAGATGGTAGTCGGCCGTCTTTCAACCTCAGCCGTGACTCATTCGTCTCGGCGAACGATGGTTATGGTACCGACGACGACCGCTCACAGAAAGAAAGCATTATGAGTAGAGCCCGCCGGGCGGAAGGTAACAATTTGTTTGGTGGACGCCAAAAGGTCTACAAGATTCCCGCCAAGGCATCATCGAATGTATCTGTCGCAGCGGATGCTGGACAAATGGGAGGCCGCGCGGTCTATGACCATGATTTGTCCTTGTCCGCTTTTCAACGGCTGAGGCTAAAAGAGAAGGAAGAACGTGCTGCAGCCGAGGAAGCCCACCAAGATACTTCTGCCGCGGAGTCCGAAGACGCTCTGTCTAGCATTTCTTCCGCTAAGAGACTACGTTTTCCTCAACTGCCTCTGGCCCAATCGCGAATGGCCGTGCATCAACAGCAGCTAGCTCCATCGACGAGCAGTCTTTCACAGGATCGCCATCCCAAGAGAGCTTGGCTCCATTCTCTAAACCATCCGTACCTGCGATGGCTCCTGAGCGAGGCTCTGTTAAATCACGGCGCCTATACGGCCAGGGTCTAGCGCAGTCCGTTCAAAACCAACAAAACTCTACACTGCATCGTCTGGAGAGTCTTACCCGTCAACGAGCAGGGACTCCGGAAATGCCTCGCCTCAACAGGAGTTATTCCAGAAGTGCCACTAGCCTGCGCGATAGAATACAAAGACTTCCGCTAGCTGAGCCGGCAATTGCCACACGCCGCCCTATTAGCCCGGCACCGTCGTCCACATCGCCTACACAGCAACAGGGCGAAGCTAATGCCCAAGAACAGAGGCCCCATGAAGCTCCTCATGGTGGGCTCCCTCCGCTAAGCCCCCCAGTCAGTGAACGTGAGGAAGGTGCCCCATTGATGGCCGCTCTACAGCCGGAAGATCTCGGCAAAGCCACAGCCCTCGGACTGTTCAACAAACCTAGAACTCAATACGATGAAAGTCAGTTTAGTCAACGCCAACTTCAGATGCACGAGGGACGGAGCACGCCGCCATTGTCGCGACCTTCACTTCCCGGACGGACTATTTCCCAGGAAAGCACTGGACGTCCCAGAGGTCTCTCGAACAAAAGCTACCGGCCACGAGCTGGTTCTGCAACCTCACACTATAGCGAAGCCCAGCGCCCAGGTAGTCGATCCGCTGCCACGAGTGTCTATGAATCCCCTCGCCGAAACATCAACGGTACTTTCTTCGCCAACATGAGCCCCAGTGATTCTGAAGATGAAGAGGCCGAGGCTGTGCTTGAGCTGGCCAATGGAGTAATAGCAGATGACTTTGTGCATCCTGCGCTTCGGTCCGAAACGCCACAAAAGCCATCTACACCCACAAGTGAAGGAGCACAAGAAGAACAAAGCCCCTTGCCTGAAGTGCGGCTTTCGGACCTGGGTGATTTGAAACCCATAGCCGAAAACGATATTGCTGAAAAGACCACCAATGACGGGAAAGCCGTTCCTGAGAAGCCTGATTCGCCCACCTTGGGACCGTCTGGCTTGGGCCTGAGTGGCTTAGTTCGTACCCACTTGCGGCACGACAGTGACAGATCGTCCATCTTCCCACCACCCTCCCCCGGTCTTCCATTAAAGCAGATGGATGACGAGAGAGACAAAGAAACGGACACGGACGATTCTGTTTCACAAGAGCATAAAACACCCAGGAAAAACATTGACCCGTCGGAGCTTCTCAACGGCTCCTCCTGGCAAGGCGAGCTAGTGGCGAGGCACAGGCGTCAAGCAAGCACTGACACTCAAAGAGAACGCGAAGAGTTCGAGATCGAGCTGGCGGAGAGGCGGAGAAAGGTGCAGGAGAAGCTGAAGGGAATGGCCGAGAATGAAAGCAGATCAGCTAGCCCTGTCTCAGGCCGCCAGACCCCTGATTATACACAAGCCAAGCCCGGAAATGCATTTTCTCTGCTGAAGAGTAAGTCTGGAAAGCACAGTTTGTTTGGCAGACAGGACCAGAGAAACCCGAAGTTGCTCGGCCTGGGTAACGCTTCTACTCCAGCATTGGGAATGGATGATCAATGGCGCGAGGAGGAAGAAAGGCCATCGTTCAGCTTTGGAAAGCACTCCAACTCAAGCTCTCCCCATGTCTCTTCAGAGCGTTCCATACGGTCTCGCATGTTTGGCCGCAGCAGCCAAGAGGACTCCCGTGAGTCGAGCCGTAGCCGTGGAGCATCACCGCATTCAAGTTTTGGGTCCAGGCGGGATCGCTCCACCTCCGACGCTTCTGGTCGCTCTAAGAGTCGCACTCGGCGGGAGAGGGATGATCTCGGGACTGTAGAGGAGTCTGATCCATATGAACACTCCGCGTTCCCAGACTTCGACCAGCGCGGCTTGACATCTGTGGCTTCTTCCGCCCGCCAATCTGTGGAGGTCAATGATACAAATATGTACGATCGGTGCTCATCTGCTGCATCTGGAAGGTATCGCAGCGGCAGCCGGTCTGGAACACCAAGCTTTGTCGAAAGACCACTCCATCCGCCTGCGCTTAACCCACAGATGATTGGTGCCCCGCCGCGACCTTCACCCATTGCCCCTTACTCTGCCAATGCTACCCCGCCATTGTACGAGATCTCCCCTGATCCATCTTCTAGCTCGGCATCGCTTTCGACAACCAGCCTCCCTCAGCGGGCTCCTGGGCATAATGGTGGCCTCCAGAAGCGACCCATCGATAAATATCAAATTTCCGAGCCCACTTTCGTGTCCACCACCTCGAACGTTCCAACTGTCGGTCTTCCACCTGGAGCGAGCTTGAGCAATGGCATGTCAACACCTCCTGTTCCTCCCATGAACCCACGCCGTCGCCGCCAAACCACCACCCAAACCATCCTTGGTGCGATCAGGGGCGATAAGTACGAGTCGCAATACGTCCCGCCTCAGTACGCCCCCTCTCAGTACGCTCCTTCGACAGCCCCATCGACAGCCGGTAGTGTTGTGGAAGAGTATAGCACATTTTCCGACGAGGGTGAAAGACGGCCTAGGACACGAAGCAGGCTGCGCAAAACTCTAGCGAAGGCGGAGATCTGAACGCCAAAGCGAGACATCAACTTATGACTGGCCCGCCACCAGCTATGCCAGCTTATCCACCACCTCAAGTCCCCATGGATGGTGGCATGTTCTAAACAATAGTCACATAACGGCTGAATTCTTCTATCTCTCTCTCACTCTCTCTTTCGTCTTACTACTTTCCTACTTCCACCAAAAATCTTCCTCCCCCCCACCGGGTTACATGTATTAGTCGACTTTTCCGATCATTTTCCTTTTTCATTTATGTCAAACCTCGATACCTTCTTTTGATTACCACTTTTGCTCATGATGATATACCAACTGCGTTTTGTTGAGCGGACAGGCCTGTCTTTCATTTGACTTTGATATCTGAGCCATATTCTTTCTTTCTACCATAGCATTTCCTTATCTTCTATGCATTATTACAAACTATCTAGATAGGTCAATAAAAATGATCTAAATGTACAATACCTTGTCTCCCTAGATAGAGCACTAGCCAGTTTGGCTATCCTTTTTCGTGTGAAATAGATTTGTAATGCCTAGCGCAGCTTTGGAGACTATCATTGAAGGCCCAGTTACTGAGGGGTATTTTCTTTGTTCTTATCAAACCGGTGAATGTGTGGAACATGGTATTGCACATTCACTTATTTAAACAAAGAAAGGGCTGGCTATGGTATTACATCTGTACTCTTTACTATCATTCACTGAATATTGTGGTTGGTATTAAAGACATGTCACGTGTATACCACCCATCACGTGGAGTGTGAAGCCCTTATACAGTTTCTGATATGGTGTGTGATGTTAAAGCGGTATTGATGTTTGCATATATGACTGTATACATATACTACAGATCTCTGAGCTCTGGATTTACCATGAGAATATATCATACAGTTTATAAAGAAATTCACTAGTGTGTAAATAATTCAGAAACCAGCTCTAAGATATCATCTCAAATATAGTCAATAAACTGTAATTAACAAGAGCTGCTCAGAAAATTCTCCAACAGTTGTACATTCTGAAAGAAAAACAACATAATCGTCAAGGAAGCGCATGGAAAGGAAAACTGGAGTGGACAAACAACACAAGTCGCCCCTCCCTTTTGTATCGTCCCTCCATACATTAATTAATCCATCCATATTCACATCATCTCATCTCTGAACTTCCTTCACAATCTCACCAGAATTAATCGAGCGGATATCAAGACTCATCTTTCTCTTGCCTTTCTTGGTGCTGTGATTAGATATTGAAGCTGACGAAGAATATGACGGACCTGGAGAGAAGAAGCTCCTTTTGTACCTCCGAGTTGCCGTCTGTTGTCATGTCTTTTGATTCCGTCTTTGAAATCATGCGCGTAGGTCTTAGCTCTGAGGATCTGCGCTCTATTTGTAGACCTAGCTCATCGGGGCCTGCGTTAAAGACGGTGGAGACACAAGTGGATGATTCTTCTGAACAACAGAAGGCCCAACAAGATCGAAAGAAAGAGAAGAGAAGGTTGAAGAAGAAGCTATTGAAAGAAGAAAAGAAAAGGAGGAAAGAGGAAGCAAAACAAGGTGAGGCCATTGATCTGCCTCCATCTCTGGATAGCAGTGAGGTCAATATCGGCAACACGCAACATCCGTCCTCTATCACCGCGACAATGAGCTCTCAATCTGTTGTCGATGAAGCTCCACCCAGTTATAACGGCCTTTCCGGTATTCCTCTTGAGACTTCCAGTGCAGACACGTCCTCGAGTCATACAGTTCGTCCCTCAAGCCAGAAGGCGGAAGAACCTGAGGAGCAGAATGAGTCTTGTTCGATTTACGATGAAAACAACCCTATCATATGTCACTTACACGGTCGGAATATTTGTCAGTTTAACTCCAGCTGTTGTGTGCATAAACCCACTACCGACTGCAGCTGTCCACCCAGGCGGTCTTGTTGTTGCGCTCATCACTCGGGAGATTGCTGTAATTGTGTCTTTCCCTCTGGGCCTTCCCATTTCGACGAATATGCCTCAAGGGTACCACAAGATGGCTATAGACAAACATCAGAGCAAGAGATTGAGGAAAGGAATGTAGTCGATGTTGGTGTGGGCAGTAGTAAAGGTGATATTGTCCCATTAATTCAATCATCTCATCGTTTCAGCACTAATCATGCGTCTCCTATAGCTTCATCCGAACATCATACCATCGCGACTGAAATACTTCCCGATAGAATTGATCCACTCTCTGAGCACCTTCTTCACTGTCTAGAAGCGAGCGAGTTTTCCGACTCTCAGATAATATTGAGATCCTCCAAAGATATCTTCATGCCCATCGTCTTCAGAACACATAGAGCGGTGATCAGCCGTAGCAATTTCATGGCCGATGTCTTCAGGTCGCCGACCCAGGAAGAGCGAATTAACGAGATCGTCGCCGTTGGAAATGAGAACTTCTGTATGATCAAAGGCTTTGAATATGCGCTGCAACATTTGTATGGTAGGCCACTCCTAACAGCAGGACAGCTCAGATTGGCGACTCTGTCCACCTATGGATACTCGGAGAACAATGTGGGAAAAATACAATTCTCACTCACGGCGGCCATGGCAGACTTCGCCCTGTGCTATGCCGCATCAGGGGCCTTCTTTCAACAAGAGGCAGTCATTGAAACGGGTATCAGACTAGCCATTGAGCTAATCGACTGGGAAACAGTCGAATGCATTCTCTATTTCGGAGTTTGCACAACGAGGCCGGCAGTAACCCTCGACCAGACTGCTCCAGTCAACAAGACTGGAGATTATGATGCAGCAAGAGAGCTGCAAAGATGGGCTCCACGGCTAGTTGGTTCGGCTCTGCATTTCGTCACCAGGCACATGAGCAAGGACTTCACACTGTACGCCAAGGCGCAGAGTAAGACTCTGCCAAATCGAATCCCAGAAAGCCTGTATGGTGTTCCAGGTCCAGTGATCACTAGTCCTCGATCTTTTGCGTCTCGCCGGGGAGAAACCCCGAACCGAGAGATTGAGGTGCCCTCTGCGATGTTGATCTACCTTCCGTACAAGCAACTAGAAGAGACTTTTGGGATTATGAACGCGCGGAATATCTTATCGAGTGACCTCGCCCAGGCGGTAGTAGCAGAGCGCGAGACACGGCGCCTGCAAGCCCTTCGAGCCCTTGCGAAACAGGGTGTCAAAGACGAGCTGAATGCTACCGATCAGATTCGAGAGCTGGGATATAAAGAGATAGTCGCTGTTAGCGAAGAACAGGGCCCAGCTATTACTCTCAACAGAGAGTGGATTGGTCTGGCTGTTGTGGAAGAAACAGTCGCGACGCCCAGAGTCAAACGTGTGGTCAAGAAACATAAGAGGCACAAGCGCAAGAGGTAAGAGAATACTACATTCTCCTACATGAGGCCCCCCACCCACCCAAGCTAACTGTGTTTAGATGAACTCGATCAAGAGATGTGTGCACTTTGATGCACAGGATGATGATCAAGGTGGCGGCCGGGTGGTTGACAAGATGACAGTCATGAAACAAAGAGAAACACAATTTGAAAGAGAATATAGGCAGAATACTCACGTGGCCCTAGAGGCGGTAACCTAATCTGTTTTTACATGAATTTTGAAGATTTAGATCTGTGCTTCTGTCACCTGAACGCTTTCTTTGTTTTATGTATGTACTAACAATAGCAGAAGAGCCACCAACTCTCTGGTACTTCTAGAAATATACAAAAAAGACTGAGTGACTGAGAGTTACCTTGTAAGTCCATTGTATTTATCTTTGCTTTATTTACATGTTATTTAATTGGCAACATCATATTGATGCTGGAAAATGTTCCTAACCATAGTCGGCCTACGTGAAGTTATTATCAGAGAGCTGTTATTCTTCACAACTGGTAGGCTGAAAGTAATGCAGCGTAATGTACTAATTATTGAAATTCTATACTGTATATATTATACGGAATTGCTATTAAATAGAAGTATTAGCTCAAGATACCTATGGCTAGTAAACTACGTAAGATTAACATTGAAACTCTCTTGAATTATCGAACAGGAATGCAAAAGGATTAAATACAAGATTAAAATTTCTCTACATAGCTAACTCAAAAAATAGGAAAAGCCAGACATGAGATTGGTGCTTTTCACCGTTCTGAAAGCGTATAATAAAAGCCAGGATATACTACAGGGGCAAGGCACTCGAGTCACTTCGGCCCACAGCTATTAATGGGTCTACTATAGTACTGGGAAATTTCGAAGCCAATCATAGTTAGTTAACCTATGCCTTGAAAAGTGTTACAAGCAGGAGAGAAGCTTCCTGAAACATCATTCGTGAGGGATATATGTCGTCTATCTATAAACAAATATAAAGAATCAAAACTATTTATCCAGGCTCCCCAGGCTGTTATACAAGACACACTCAAATCTTCTACACTCACCCTGAAGGGCGCACAACACCTTTCCATAAGGTAGTTATGGGCCTACTAGTTCACTGAGATTTCGCCCTGTCCATTCACGATAGTGGGAGGCATGGCAGAGCGAATGGAAAGCCCTGCTTTCCGCATCCGGTGGTCATATGTACTAGGAGATGCTTGGTAGGTAGAGACTAGAGTTTGTGACAGTTTATGACTTGTCGGGGAATCCGAAGTCGACACCAAAGGGAGGGTAGACGAAGCGCTGGAAGGCTTTTCTGGCAGCGAGATCGTCGGTGTATTTGGCAATGGTGGCCATGTCATTCTCGTCGAGCTGAACCAAGTTGCGGTTGTCTTCAATACGCGAAGGTGTGACGGACTTGGCGAGAACAGAGGATCCACGGGCAACTACATTATATAGTTAGAAAATCTTTATCGAGCATAAAAGGCGAGAATGCTGGGGAGGGGGAAGGGGGGTGGCTGATTGTAACATACCGTGCCAACTGAGAAGAACCGTGGCGGGGCTAACTCCCTTCCTCTTTGCAACCTCTACAATAGGCTCGGCTGTGAACAGTGGACTGCCAGTGCTTCCCAGAGGGCTGTAGGCGGTGATGTGGATACCCTTCTTCTTGCAAAAGTCGACGATCTCCTGCTGTGGGAGAGAGGGGTGGTTCTCAATTTGGTTGACTGCAGGGACAACGGTAGCCTCAGGAAGCAATTGCTCCAGATAACGCACGCTGTAGTTAGAGACACCGATGGCCTTGACCTTTCCGGTCGAGAGAAGCTTCTCCATGTTCTTCCATGTTTGGACGTGAGAGTGCGATTGGACAATGTCTCGAGAACCATCTTCATGCTTAGGGAAGAGAGGGTGGTTTCCTAATAATTGGTTAGACCTGGAGCAACATATTGACTGGAAAAGGGAGCATGGCTCACCATTGGGGTTCATGGCCAATGGCCAGTGCATCAAGTACAGATCGACGTAGTCCAAGCCCAAGTTCTTCAAACTCAGGTCCAGAGCCTCTTGCACCCGGCTGTGGTAAGTGCACCACAGCTTGGTGGTAACGAAGAGGTCCTCCCGCTTCACCTTTCCAGAGGCCAGGGCATCCTTAATTCCCTTTCCGACTTCCTCTTCGTTCTGGTAGCAGAAAGCGCCGTCGATGTGTCTGTATCCCACCGAGATGGCGTGGCTGACAGCCTTCTCAACCTCACCGGGGGCGGATTGCCAGGTACCTATGCAATCAGCACGACCATTGCTGCAATTTTTCGAATTGAAATAACTACATACCGAGACCCAAGGCAGGGATCTCTGCTCCAGTGTTGAGCTTGAATCGAGTGTCGGCAACGGCCATTGTGCAGTAGTATGTGTGTAATTGGATAAAGATTCGGTATAGATCCTAGGGAATTCAGAGGAATGAGTACAAATGTGAATTGACTTGAGGGAAAAAGGCGAAACAAATACGAAGGACGAGGGGTGAGGGGTAGAGGGGCAACCAGAGATTATCAACAAATACTTCGGGGCTCGCGCCGTCAATTGCCCCGGCCAGTGGAATTTGTCCCCGAAGTTCCATCAATCACATCGCTCCGTCGGGTCATCTTCACGCGAGCCGTTCAATTCTATACCTTTCTTTGCTTCATACTGGTAAGTATCTATCATTCTCAAGGCCTTAAAGTCTTCATTTTCTTCAGTGAATTATCTTGATTGTCTATCTCATCTACTCACTACAGCGAACAGATTAAAATCGATCGGACAGCGTCATACGGAGCCAGGATGGCCATGCATATGCAACCATCGGAAACCATTTCTCTTTCCAGACGAGCCAATACCCTATACCCGATCTGAACAATTCTATGTGAAGATAATCGGACTGTCCATGCTCCAGTCCACACGACCTCATTAGAAATCCGATGGCTCTTACCTTCTGTGGTGAGACCTAGTTGTCTAAACCGGCAGATCAACGTTGGGGTCAGCGAGCACTGGCCATTGCGCATGACGTTGATTATCATTTATGGCTTCAAGGGGAAATGCTGTGACATCAGGAGCGACAGAAAGGGCAAATCGAGGGTCAAGGTGGCATACCAAAAGAGAAATCTGCCCCGGCGGCCAAAGTTCTCGGCCTTCGGAAACCAAAATCCTTGAGTGCCTCAACCATCCCCACAGTCAAGACGGCGAAACAACTGGTCTCTGGTTGGCTGCAGATCCGTACCTCAGATTTCCCCCCGCGTCATGCAGCTGTGGAGAACATTTCCAGAATCTATCTTCATAGTGCGGAAGCCAGAATCCGATCTTCACACAACGAGGACATCACAATGGCGCCACCACACTGTCGGATTCTGGGGTGTAGTGTGTTAGGGCTTATTCGGCTGGGGCTTTAGTCGGATACTGAATTTCTCGTAGATCACGAGGATCTCCCTATAGCGCCCTTTATATATACGCCTGGGTCTTCCTGGGTTTTCTTCTCTCTCCAGCAGCATCCTTTGATACCCAGATCAGTCTTGATCAAATACATTCAAGAGAAACAGGAACATCAAACATCAAACTCATTTCTTTCATTCACAATGGCCCCAGTTGCTGTCGCCCCAGAGACCCCGGTGTTCAACACCAAGCGGGATGGACAGGCTCTCGAGGAGACCTCCGACGCCATCGACACCGTCAACGTCCTCAAGCAGAACATCAAGCAAGAAGACAAGGACATCTACGCCGAGTCTGAATTTGACAAGAACAAGGACAAGACCAAGTTCCGTCAATACGAGGATGCCTGCGACCGTGTCAAGAACTTCTACAAGGAGCAGCACACCAAGCAGACTGTCGCTTACAACCTGAAGGCCCGTCACGCCTTCCACTCCAAGACTCGCGCCGAGATGACCATCTGGGAGGCCATGGAGAAGCTCAACACCCTCATTGACGAGTCCGACCCCGACACCAGCCTCTCTCAGATCGAACACCTTCTTCAGTCCGCCGAGGCCATCCGCCGCGATGGCAAGCCCCGCTGGATGCAGCTAACCGGTCTCATCCACGACCTTGGCAAGCTGCTCTACTTCTTCGACGCCCAAGGCCAGTGGGATGTCGTCGGCGACACCTTCCCCGTCGGCCTCGCTTTCGATGACCGCATCATCTACGGCACCGAGTCCTTCAAGGAGAACCCTGACTATGGCCACGAGATCTACGGCACCAAGTACGGTATCTACAGCCCCGGCTGTGGCCTAGACAAGGTCATGCTCTCCTGGGGTCATGACGAGTACCTCTACCATGTCGTCAAGGACCAGTCCACTCTCCCTGACGAGGCCCTGGCTATCATCCGCTACCACTCCTTCTACCCCTGGCACAATGCCGGCGCATACCAGGAGCTGATGAACGACCACGACAAGGAGATGCTCAAGGCCGTCAAGGCCTTCAACCCCTACGACCTGTACAGCAAGAGCGACGACGTTCCCACCGTCGACGAGCTCAAGGTACGTCCTTTCTCACTACCCTTTCTTCAATACAATGAGTATCAGCTAACCCCCATCGCAGCCATACTACCTGGAACTCATCGACGAATTCTTCCCCAACAAGGTCATCAAGTGGTAGATGTGGTCCCAGCGCTCGGATTGTCTTGATATTAGAACGCCATGTTTTGTTTTTTTGTTTCCGATATATCAGTTTTGTTCTTGCATTTTTAAAGCGATGATTCACGAACCACCAATGAATTATACAGCCCTGTAAAATTAACCAGGGACCAATTCATTCAAAAATACCCTTTTACCAAGAACCCAGATCAAGATCTAAAATAAGCTTACTTTCACCGTAATACAAAGTTTTTACATATATACACCTCTCAAAACCAAAAGATTCCACTCAAGCCTACAAGTAGTTCCCTTGCCACAAGCACCAACTATCAGACCCCTTACTAACAATAGCGTATCTATGATACAATAACACAACGCGAATGCTTGGCGGCAAACCATGCCCTCGGAAACGGGTTCCCGGGGTACGTCGGCGATCTACCCACGTTCGACAAATCGGTGTCTCGGGACGGGTCACATTGTGAAAAATTAAACTGTGGACTGTGCCCGTGGATCTTTTGGGGAAAGACTGCTTAAACTAGTGTATCTTGTACACGTGCAATGGTTCATATTATATAATTTTTCGGGATCTGGGAGGGGAAGGAGGGGTCCTGGGTATATTCTAAGGTGAGGTTATGGAGGACCTTCTACAATTTAATCTACTGTTGAATGGGGATCACTTAGGATTTCTAGAGATATGAAGCCTAATTTCTGGCCTTTCTATAATCCAAAATTGCTCTTTATTTGAAAATCATTAAATGACGTAATCTAAATTAAGTCGTTAAGCATACATCTATAGCCGAGACTTGTCCACCCGGTTACCCTCTTCATCGAAGAAGATCTTTTCGCCGGTGATAAGCGACTCCTGGAGCGCAGCTCCAATGCGGACGGCCTGGACGGCACCGTCGAGTCTGAGTGGAACAGGAGTGTTCTCGAGGCAGCAAGCGGTGAACTCGTTGGCCTCGGTCACGAAGGCATATTCGAAGCGGTCGTAGTAGTGCTGAGGGATCTCCCGACGGATTCCAGTGCTGTCGTAGATGTTGACGAGGTTTAGGGCTGGCTGTGCGTTGACGGCCAGCTTGCCCTGGGTGCCGATAATTTCGGTGGTATCTTCTTGACCAGCGGCCATCATGCGAGAAGCGTAGAAGTAGGCGATCTTGCCGTTGTGGAACTCGACCAAGCCGACGGCATTGTCGCGGTCGTTGTGCTTGCGCAGGTCCGGCTCAACGGCCGTGATACCGACAGCGGATACAGACTTGACTTTGCTGTCTTGACCGAAGAACCAGAGGGCAAGGTCGATATCGTGGATCGAGCAGTCAACGAAAATACCACCGGAGAACTGGGCATAGGCGACAAAGAACCCACTGGGGTCCAGCTTGTCGCAGGTCTGACTACGCATAACGGAGGGCGAGCCAATTGAGCCGGCACTCATCTTGCTGTATGCATCCCGGTATGAGGCGTCGAAGCGACGGGAGAATCCGCACATCACCTTCAGATGAGGCTTCTTGGCAGCAGCGTCAAGGACGGATTGGGACTAGAACAAGGATTGTTAATACCCTAGCTACTAGGTCGATGGGAAAAAGAGCAAAAACAATAGGGGTTACATACAATCTCGACACTGGTTGACAAAGGCTTTTCGCACAGAACGTGCTTTTCAGCATCGATGGCCTTGATGGCTTGTTCGGCGTGAACGGCGGTGGCCGATGCAACGACCACGGCTTCCAGACCTTCGTGGCGGAGCATGTCATCGTAATTCTTGTACAACTTCACGCCATATGGCTCCAGATGGACCTTGGCCCATTCAAGCTCAGCATCGTCAGGGGAGCTAGCAGCGACCAGCTCGGCACGGGGAGTGCGCTGGAGGAAATTGAGGGCATGGCGCTTGCCCATGCGACCGAGGCCAGCACAGCCAATTTTAAGCTTCGTAGCAGCCATTGTGAAAATGAGAAGGTGATAGAAGAAAAGGGTAGGAGATTAGAGTATTGGAAAGCTGGAAAGATGGAAAGAGTAGCTATCGGGAGGTAGCTTTCGGAGGAGACGGTGAGAATTTATGCGGCCGGTCGGAAATCGTGGCGGGTTGGAGGCAATGTCGGTCTGCTTGTTTCCCTGGCACTCGGGATTCACAAAGGGAGAAGCCGACGACTAATTGGCAAACATGAAAGGGGAGAGCATCCAGTAGTATGGGCGAGGAGGGGAAGCTGGAGCTAGCCAGGTCAACGACTGGAGCATGAAAAGCCAATTGCCCCGTTTAGTTCCCCATCACGGTTGCTACCCCGGAATCCAGACTTGCAGCACTGGTCGGAAAAGGAGTTCCTGGGGCTCCATCGTGAGGAGAACCCCACAGGACGAAATCCGATTGTTTGTCCTTAGTGATGGAGAATGTGGGAAAAGAGAGAAACCATGGATCAGGGCTGAAAAGAAAGGTACAGCGACCACTGCTCCTATACAGGTGATTTGGGTGGTGGGGATTGAAAGGCTGGGGAAACTTGGGGTAAGAAACCAAGACTATCTCCACAATATCCCTGATATCTGAGGATTTTCTTACTGCCATTATATCTTTTGCTGCCTATAAATTAAAGAATATTAACTATTCACAACAACATCCGGTGTAGTGTAACGGCTATCATACCTGTCTTTCACACAGGAGATCGGGGTTCGATTCCCCGCACCGGAAGCATTCTTTTTCTTTTTGTTTTTTTCTTTCCCTCTTCACCATGTCCACTCTATCATACTGAGCCATAGTAGCTTAATTTCCGCTCCTAGCAAATTAGGTCCTCAGATACATTGAAATATATACTGAATATGGCGTGGTATCAACAAAATGGAGTCAGTGAATCGCTATGTACTTTGCTTGTGAATAGGGACAAAAGGCAGGAGCAACGTGCATAACAGGGACCGTTGTAAAAACATAACAGAGAATGCGCAAATCACGCCCATTGCCAATTAGTGCTCAGTCTCAGCCTTCTTGGCTTTCTTCAGCTTCCTCTTTGCCGCAACATCAACCGGGTCCACAAAACCTTCACCCTTCATCCATGCTAGAGCCTTCCGCACCCCCCGGCCTTGAACCGCATTCGGTCTGCTCTCCAAGATGGAGTTGATCAGTGCCCAGGAAAGTACAAGGATGAACAGGTCCCCGCCCTTCCATCCCTTCCAGAGCCCCCGCTTGGTGCCCGTCTTCCATGCCGAATCCACGGCGGCTCGGAAAAAGTACGTGAAAACGCTCCGGCTATTCGCAAGGAACGCGAATGGCATACCCGCAACTGCACCGCTCAGGAAGAAGCGTTTGGTAGGCAGGACAGAGCGCGGGAAAAGTGAGTTCCAGAGACAAATGCTGCCCCACGCGGAGCCGACAGACGCAGAGAGGACAGCAGTCAGTGTGATGATTTTCTTCGAAAGATTATTGATCGAGGTGATAGGATTGGCCATCAGCTTCTTGAACTTGAGCACAGACAGCGCCAAGGTAACGGTTGTCACAAACCGGGCCAGACGAGGGATCGAGAGGAGAATATTGTGCAAAAAAGCCGTACTACAGCTGGGGCTGCTCGAATGGAGCAATGCGCAAGACAGGCTTGAAATAGACGGATGAGCAGGTCCGGTAATTGGTGAAATAGACTTGACAGCAGACGGTAGGGTATTAAGGTCTCCGGGATGCAATATCGGCGAGACGAATGCGCTGATTGAAATATTAGAAAAGAAGCGGCCATATACTAGGTGTAAATAGCGAGTATAAACATACGGCCAGCGCAAATTAGCGACAGTTGCGAGCGAGTCAACCACATCCTCCTTTCCCGGCCAAGAAAACTCTGTAGGCAAACTTTCAGGGCGATCGAGGATGTAGCCTGGAGAGAGCCTGAAGATGACATTTCCGAGCCACTGTGCCCAATCAGTATGTAAATCCAACAATTTTTCTCATATATGGACCAAGCAAACCTTAGGTGTCGCCTCCCGATCGAAGATGAACGCATGGAATAACTGCGCGCAGGACAGGGGCATCAGCAACCAGCTTCCAAACCACACAGGCCGATTCTCAAGCCATCCTTTCTCATCGATGACGTTGAAAAGAAACTCCAAGCTCCGAGTAGCCATCCAGATTGCGGCTGTCAGTCGCAGCTGATTCTGAGGGCATATGCCCAGGCCAAAAAGGGCCAGACTAGCCCCAACAGCGGGCGCATAGCGTGATGTCAACGCTTTTGACACTCGAGGGTTCCGATTACGGAAGGGTTGGGCTTCATCTGTGCGGAGGTTCGCGCGTAGCCGGGCGAAGAAGCGATGCAGAAGTCTGTGGAAGAGAAGGACGAGCGAAAGGGACGCTGACAAGCGGAAGTTGGGGGAGCGGAGGAAAGAAGTTTGTGTTTTCTTCCTATAGTTTCAGGCAGAGGCGAGACGCGAGTGTCAGCTAAGGTACATTTGATGTCCGCTTGATTTGATTCTTAATTGGACTGAAGAGCTTACTTGGACAGATCCCCTCGGATTCTTGCAAGTGCCCAACCAACGAATTTCAATAAAGCTCCTGATACAAGGAATACTCGAAGAGAGGCGCGGAGAGCTGCCTCATTGTATTTGTTTTTTGAGCGCACTATGGCTTCATATCTTGATGGAGAGGGCAATTTAGACTGGACCTTCACGGGGGCGCGCCGAACAGCAAGGTCATGGAGGATCTTGTATTCCTTGGCGCTGAGTGAAATGCGGAGAGCTTCGCGAACACGGGGTGGACCTGGGCGTGCCCGTCAGGGTCGCGTGCGGAACTAGGTTCCATAATGCATCAAATGTCCTTCAAAAAGACCTAAAACACATGTGTTTTTAAATAGACATTGTGAGATGCTTCTGGGATCGATAGACGGGGACTAGGAAAGGGAAGGGAAGGAAGGGAAAATGGGGAAAGCATGAGTTGGATTCCGGGGTTGCTCGTGACCTCGGCTAGATTCAGCTGAATGATTTATTGATCTGCCAACTGCCTGCGGTTATCCCGCTCCACTCCCCAGAGAAAATGTGAAGCAAAAAGCTGAACCCTTTGGGGTAAGGATAAAAACTGATATGATTTATATTGGTCATCGCTATATTCTATCATAAGTGCCGTATCGGCGAAAACCCCAAAACATTCCCATAAACTGTGCCTATGGCTTAGATTCACATGCTTGTCACTCAAGGCCATATCACACATTTATATACACCAGGCATCAGTGTCACTTCGGGTCCGTTTACCTTATTTGCCTCTTGCCCCCCACTCCTCTGAATCTGTGCCAAACTGCCACTGGATGGTAGCTGTAACGTACAGACGGTGCTGGTTGGGACCGTAACTTCTAGCTTGGCACTCGTGTCCTCAGCCTGCGTACGATCAAAGCATACCCGAATCAAGCCATATGGGCAATCCACTTCTCCTTCCACAAAGTCGAACTCACTTCGAAATGGCGGCCGCAGTTTCCATGTGCGGTACGCTTCGCCGACAGGCTGCACACCAAGCACCGCAGCGTAGAACCATTCATAGATCGTTCCAAGCATATCGTGACACTTGGACCGGCAAGCGTCCTGCCAAAACTCTGAGAGAGTGGTCTCACCGCGTCGGATGAATCGCATGTAACTGGGATGTTCCTCCTGCCTGGCCATGGCGAGGACAAGGTCGGGACGATCTACTTCGGCCTCAGCAAACGTGCTCCAGACGTACTTCAGCCCAATTTCTCCAGCGCGAATCCTCGGGCCCGACTCCTCTACGGCAGCAACAAATGCCTGGATGATATCAGAGCGGTACTCTGCGGGCACCAGGCCGAACTGCAGCGCGAGTGCCTGGTTAACCATAGTGCGGTCATGGACACCAGGATTATCTAGAGAAGTATAGAAAGCATAGGGGTATTCAGTCTTATCGGAGACCAGAAGGTGGGAATTGTAAACACCGTAGATACGTGCAGCCCAGGCCTCATACAAGGCCGCATCCTCGGTAAATCCCAGCTCCTTTGCCATCATTGATACGTTGCAGAGACAGCGATAGTAAACCGCAGTTTCAATGTTTGCTTGATGATTTCCGAACGCTATATCATAGCCCCAGTCGCCTAGTCCATGCTCAATTAGGCCGCCTTTCCGTTCTTTTGTTTTCATATACTCCATATATCGTACACAAGGCTGATATATCTTAGAGTATACGTGGGTAGACCCGTAGTAGCGCTTGATCAGCTCGGGAAGGAAGCACACCGCACAGCCCCAGGTAATAGTGTCATGGAGAGGACCACACATGTACCGAATCTCCGGTGCCATTGTAGGTACCAAACCATTTGGCTCCTGAGCATCGATGATATCATCCAAAATTTTCGTGTAGACGGCTTCCATATCACGGATATACTGCGTGGCAGGTGCAAGAAGCGATGTGACCTCGAGCCATCCGAATTTCTCAATCTGTGGGCAATCGGTATGGTAGCTAAATATGTTGCTGGCGAAGGTCCAATAACAAGCATTGATAAGTGCATTGACGTCTTCTTTATCGGTTTTGAGACACCCAAGCTGCCGTGCAGCTGATGAGACATGTCGAGCACTTAGAGAATGAATGATGGGAAGATTATCACTATCGGCGTCGGAGACCCCCTCCACTTGGATATATCGAGCACTTGTGAAGCAGAAGTCCGGAGTCCATGTCTCGCGGCCTTCACCAGTAAGGACGATCTTCGAGTATACGTTATGCTCGAATTCTTTGAACAGGGGATCTGGCATGAAGACCTCTCCATTATCGCCAAGGGTTTCGGAGTATCTAACAATGACCTCTGATGCAGATGGTCCACTGACCTCCAGTTGCACCATGATGCTGGAGTTCTGCCCCAAGTCATAAACGATAACGCCAGGGCGAGTGACCTGACGTTTGATAGGGTGAAAAGTGTTATGCAGAACGACTGGGGGCTGGCTCTGATAGCTCAACTTGCCTCTTGGACCAGTCAAAGGCTTTGCTGGCGACCAATCCGCATCATCAAAATCAGGAGAATCCCAACCAGTGGGGTACAACCGTCGATCGTGATTCTCTGAGGCATAAATATTGGCAAGGGTGGTAGCACTTTTCCTCACCTTCCACGTTGGGTCTGACACTATGGTCTCGTGGGAACCATCGGCATAGTGTAGGTGAACCTCAGCGAAGAAGCATAGCTCGTTTCCATACCGAACGAAGGTATTATCCTCATATGTGGGCCAGAAAAAACGGTCACCCTGATCACCTGCGTAGAAGCCGTTTCCAACATGAGCCCCAATGACGTTCTCCCCTTGTTGCCATTGAGAAGTTAAGTCGTAACCGACATACTGAACAGATCGGTGGTAATTTGTCCAGCCAGGATCAAGTACATGATCAGATGCTGCATTTCCGTTGACGGTGAGATTGAAATGTCCCAGTCCCGATGCAAATACAACGACTCGAGAGGGCTGTCGAGCAAGCTGAATAGACTTTCTTAAATAGATGGGCTTGTCTCCGCCATCGCCCACCCAAACCGCTTTCCATCGGTTGGGCTCATCCTCAAACCAAGTCCGGAATATGAGACTACTGTGTGGCATCTGGCGTAGTGAGTAAAAAGTTCAGGTCAGCCAATGACAACTAGGTATGCTTACATATGTCTGGTTCATGCTGTACGGTGGTAACAGCCCCGATGAGCGCGGATATAAGGTATAGAACTCGTTCACAGAGCTTTCAAATGAAATGCCATTTTCGTCCCATACGGTCACTCTCCAATAATGGAAAGTGGTCGACTGGAAAGGCTGGTTGGGAGTGCATTTGATGTTTCTCTGAGCATCACTCTCAACGCGCCCCGAGTCCCAGCATACACCACTCGATGCCAAATTGTCACGGTCGGTGGACACAACTACCCGATAGGCTGTCTGCCTGGCATACTCGTTGTCGGCGTGTAAAGCCCAGAAGAATCTAATCTCATCGGTGTCTATACCGATGACTTCATGGAAGCCATGGATGCCACAGCGAGTGAATTCCATGACGGTGGTAAGCAGATGCTGCCTAGACAAACAACTTAGTTCAACGGAGATGCAAATTTTGTGCGAGACCACGCCTTGTAAAATAATTCAAGGTGGACACGAACTGTGCCAGCCGTTGCTGTCGGCACAAGTCACATCGGTGGACTTGCCGAATGGTTGCGGACCTTCAAAATATTCTTAATAATTGCAGGGATGCCGTCGGACTCTTTCTTACCGAACCAGCATCATGATGGCGTCCTAACGGCGGGACTCTTTTTCTTCTGGCCCTCGGAGGGCTCCATTTTCGGGAGTGAAATACGGTTGCGACGGGGCCCGCTAGCCCATCTCTAGTGCCTGGCCGGTGCCACGCCATGTCTCTCTCCACAGTCTTAGTTCGGTTTAATGTTGTCCGTAGTTTCCCCGTGGGCTCTTCCCCAGTCTGGGGTTCGTTGCCTTCAAGTGAACGACGGGTTTAAGTAGTCTTGTATTTGACCTCTTCTTGATGTCCTAGATGCATGACTGTCAAACACTTCAAACTACTATAGCAGTGGACCGGTCACAGCATTAGACATGGGGCATGCACAAACAATATTCTCGGCTCTCTTCCTGGCCGTAGGAGGTACTTCTCAATCCCTTTACTTGAGTTATCATCATGTTGCTGATCACAGGGTACTGCAGGATTCCTCTTCGGTTATGATAGCGGTATCATCACTTCAACTATATCCTTGGCCACATTCAAGGAATACTTTGGCAACCCGAGTGGCACGGTAACCGGTGGTGTAGTGTCTTCATTTCAGGGTGGTGCTATCGCAGGAACAATGTTTAATATGGTTTTTGCGGATCGAATTGGTCGAAAATACTCCATCTTGGCCGGTGCCATAGTTTCCTGTGTGGGATGTGCCATTCAAGCCGGCTCCGTGGCCATGTCGATGTTGATTATAGGCCGATTCATTGCGGGAGTAGCAGTCGGCATGCTTACTGCTACTATCCCCATGTATGCCTCGGAGCTCTCTGAACCTCAAATGCGTGCTTCATTATCCGGCTTACTACAGTGGATGTTGAGTTGGGGCTATCTCATAGCCCAGTGGCTAGGATATGGCTGCTCTTTCAACAAGACAGAATTCTCATGTAAGGTTGATTCCAAGCTCTTGGCATTTTCTACTATTTTGCTATATCTCCGGGAGGACACTAAGCAAACGACTTCTTAGGGCGCTTCCCGTTGGCGTTCCAATGTCTTCCTGGTGTAATCCTAGTGGTGGGCATCTGGTTCCTCAATGAGTCTCCTAGATGGCTTATGGAGAAGGATCGTCAAGAAGAGGCAAGACAGGTGCTCATGAGTCTCCGAAAAGGGAAAGATCCCGAGTTGATTGAGCTGGAATTCCAAGAAATTCGTGATGTTATCTTGGCGGACCGCGCAATGGGCGAGGTTACCTGGAAGTCTATCATCTCGAAGCCTTCCTGGCGTCGTCGACTACTGCTTGGTTGCGGTGTTCAAGCCTTTGGTCCCCTATCTGGCACAAACGTTATCAACTAGTAAGTCGCTCAGCAATTTTTAGTACAAGCAAAGATGCAGCAACTGACAGCGGTCTAGCTATGGGCCGACGATCTACAACATTCTAGGTATTGACAACCAAACCTCACTTATGATCATCGGTATCAGCGGAGCCCTTTCAGTTGTCTACTGTACTATCGGGCTCTATCTCCTGGATAAGTTTGGCCGTATTAGACCTTTACTCATATCTGCTGCTGGCCTTGCGCTGTCATTACTAGTCAACGCAGTGCAAGCACAATACATGGATCAGAACAATGCTAACCAACTGCGCTCCATGGTGGCCATGAACTTTGTCTTCAGCTTGTTCTATACACCATTGGGTATCATATCTTGGGTCTACCCTGCCGAGATCTTCCCCGTTGAGGTTCGAGCCTTGGGTAATGCGATCACAACCTTCACTAACTGGACGGTCAACTTGGTCTTTGCCCAATTCTCACCAAACGCACTTGACTCTGTCGGTTTCAAGTATTTTTATCTCTTCTTCGCGCTGAATCTTATTGCTTTTGTGTGCTACTGGTTCTTCTACCCAGAAACTAAGGGCCGCACACTGGAGCAGATGGACGAGCTCTTCGGGGACCAGATCGTGCCGCATGCATTGCAGGACCCAGAAGGAGCAGCCGTTGCGATGGAGAAAGAAAGGGCATTAACAGATCATGTGGAGTTTGGTGAGAACAAGGAGAAGGTGTAACCCCGTCTTTTGGTCTACAGTCTACTACTGTACTTCGTACGCCCATATCAGATTACAACACCTCCGCAATGTATGTTATATGATAATTAGTCAATTCAAGGCAGACAATCTCTCAGTTCACGCATATTATCCCTAGCAGCATCTAACCAACTACATCTGTTTTTACATGAGCCATTGACTCATCCACACACACTCCTTGATCCACCACCCCAGACCACCCTCCAGTTCGGTCAACTCTTCACCGAACACACCATCCAATAAACCAGAACCAACTACTAGCTACATCTAAAACCCCACTATCTCGTTTACAACTGGAACCTGGGATAACACTGGGGTTATTTCGGGAATCCCGAACCAAGCAGGCTAAGCACTCACCCGGTTTTCTAGCCCGGGAAAGCCGAAACCCTTCCTCACCGGTATGGCACGATTGCGTTAAGACATGGATTGAAATGTCGCACGGTGTAATTCGTCAATTATCAATTGATTACCGAGGATATCTGCCATGCTGGGCCCCAGACCCCGTTCCCCACGCCGAAGGGCATTCAAGATTCAACCAAAGCATCAAGCTAACAAGTGGGACGGCGGCGTTTTCAGCATCTGATTGGAGAGTCGCCGCTCCCCGTAATTGCTCTCGACCAGACAAACGGCGGCGGCTGTCCAATCATATACTGAAAACGCCGCCGCTATTTTTGTTCAATTGCTTGGAGGCTTGAGCACTCGGCACCCCGTCTTGACCGGTCCGTGGGTTGTGCGAGCCATGGTCTTGCCGACTGGTCTCAATCTAAAGGGCACCCACATGACTAGTCATCTAGGCAGAATCGCTTAGATAAAATCAATCAACGACTTCTCCCCTAATGGCCTTTCCAACCATATAATACTTGTAAGTGCGATGTCAGCGATTCGTGATTGTATTGATGGTGGAGGAAGAAGGCTATCTATCCGCGGAATCCCGCCCCGAACCCTCGGGTCGGGATATCCTTATTGAAATGCTGGACCCGAACCCCAGCCCATTAACAATTCCGAAGTGTCACAGCTCGCTTACTGGATACTTGAACCAAGTTAAACATGGACTGGGGCGATAGGAACTCGTCTGTCCCATTATCATCCTTTTTAAAATGGGATATGCTAACATCGAGGTCTTCTGTTTTTTTTTTTTTATTTTTTTATTTTTTTACCCCAGAGATAATGTAACGTAAAGATGCCCTGCGCTCCTGCAAGCCGCCATGGCGGACAGGTAGAGTGCTATTTAGATATTGACAAGCTCGAAACACTCACCCTACAATCCTTACCTATACTTACATCCAATAGAGAAACGTGTAGTGTGACAGTGGAGGCAAGAGGCACAGAATATTTAGATTTTAAATAGTGTATACCCTCAGCCCACTTCGCTTGCTTCCTGATATTCTTCACCTTGTTGTCTGCTATGGCCCTCAGGACCGTCTCTCGTGGGTCGTATATCAACTGTGCCTTAGGAGCATTCAACTTCTACCATAGTTTGTGTGATATCCCACTCGTTACCAGAAATGTACTCCCCTCGTGGTAGTAGTGGCACCTGTGCTAAGGCTCGGGGGAACTTGGTCACTTCGTTTGATATAACCAAACAAAGTTGCTCTGTTCACAGTTTCCTCCCCCGGTACCTGCGGTACAATGATAATGAGATGCTTTGATGCTCAGTGGTGTTACTTATAAGTAACAGGCAGACAAAGTACGGAGTGAAGTCATCACAGACCAAGAGCCATCCGACTTTTGCTTCTCGGTGGCATAATGAACAATAATCGGAGCAACAATCTCCGAGGTAAATCCAAGTGCGATATTTACGCTGCCTTCTATCCGAGCCAATTCGATGCTACGAGGATTCCATTCCCTCATGTAGGGCACCGGCGAGATACGGGATCTTGAACTGGGGGTAATATTTCTACGCGTCACCCGCCACAGGCTCATTGGCTACGTTGCTCATACTCCTGGTCTATATTTCATTTCTTATGGCCAGTCAGCTACCATAGTATTTGTCAATATCGGAAGCTGATTGGCAATGGATAATCTCTCATTGAGCTGCACTCTCTAATATCTGCGATGCTACGTCGGTATAAGAAATGACTCACTCATATTATGTTAAGTCGGTCTGTGACAGGTTCACTCCTGTATAGTAGATCGTAGCATGAAACGTCAGATGTTATTATTATGAACACAGCTCCTGACTGCCCATATCCGTAGTATAGCAACGGGAATCAATAGGACAGAATAATTCTACAGGCGAAAATAACTTCAGATATAAAACAACCCGTGTCATGCAAAATCCGTCATATCGCAACTTGCGCCGTCATACGCCTGAAGACACAGCCCGCAAAGAAAAACAATGTTGATTGATCACCAGAAACTGCACCATCCAATCCAGTGCTGACAAATGTTCTCAACGCTAGTTGCCTGTGCAAGGAGTTTATCAACCTGATCACTGACATTGAGCTCCTCAGTGGGCTTGAAGTCTCGGCCAGTTAACTTCTCCTTGACTCGCGCTAGCACTTGTAAGGCGCGTGCATTCTGTGCTTCGCGGGCTTCGTTTGGTATGCCCTCCTGAGCATCAAGGATACCGCCTTCAAGAATCGATGGCCGTCGATGGCGGGAGAAGTTGCTGGGTTGGACACCCTGTTCAGAGTTGATATTACCAATGATCGATTGCCGGCGCTCTGACGAGAATGGCATCCTGTCTGGCGACTCACGGACTCCTAGACGCCAGTTGATCAAAGGATCATGAATAAACTGCAAGAAAATAAAAGTTAGATG